TATATAAATATTATAATTTATTTTTATTTATTGTGTATATATTTTTATAACTTTTACCCATGATTTCGTTTGCGTGAAACTGTTTCTAATTATTTATAGTAAATGCAATTTGTAAGTATAACAATAAACAACTAAAAAGTATAAGCTAAGTGAGGGTTTCTCCAAAGTTTTGGTCTGAGACACCTAAGGAGTTCCTTTGTTTAATTGCATTGAAACAATAAATACTTTTAATTTATCTTTGGTGAGCAAAGTATTGTACTTATTCTGGTTAACTTGTAATCAATTTTTCTTCATATTCTAATTGTATTAATAAACTGGTCATCAAATTTTCGTTAAAAAATATTTTCATTTTATAGGTATAAAAAATGAAAAGGTTGTTGCCATGGAAGTTGTAATATTATTTGGAAATGTTTTGGATTTATTTTTGATACCTCTTTCATCATATTTGTGAAATACATAAGTATTTGGCAACTATGATAATCTTAAAAATTGTTTCAGTAAAGATTCGTAGTTGTTGTCTCGGAAATTGCCAAACCTTGACTTCTAAAAGATTGATTTGTTCTTAAATTATAGCTTTAAAGAAATGTTTTGGATTTTTTAAGTATGCACAGTTCGATGTTGACTGAAATAAAAGTTTGATTTTTATTTAGTAGGATTATGTACAGTGGATTTCATTTATTACGACCATTGTGCTATAGCGACGTCATATGTAAGTCCCTTGAATTTAAAGCACACTTTAGTACAAAATTCATGTGGCTATAGCGAGTTCGGGTGTAACGACTGTTTTTAATGAATCATTTGTAACAAATCCCTAGTATACTTCATTTACTTTCTGTAGTGATGTGCCCCTTCCAATGTTTTGGATGCGCGTTGGCAAAATCGTAGGTAGGGAGAAAAAAGCTCATTATACTCTCGACTCTTGTTCATTAAACATACTTTTTCATACAGTACCTGCCAAAAGTTTTGTTCAATCATGAATAGTAGTGCGAGTCGAAAACAAGCGTTCAAGTCTTTAATATGTCTTCAAATATAAATAAACATCTCGTTGATATTTTCAGTAGTAAATGGTACCAATAACAGCACATTTGAGCAATGAAATTTTAGTGGATAAAATGGTCAATTTTTCCGTGCAGTACTGTACGGATTATACGGTTCTCACCGGTTAAGAGAGTTGTCTCCTTCCTTTTCTGGCCTGGCGCTGTTCTTTTCTACTTTGCGCCGGTCAAACTGAAGGTCACATGGCTACAGAAAGTAAACGAAGTATTAATACCATCCAGATATAGCGACCGGAGTAGGCCCCGCTAAAGACACAAAGAGCTTTCATATCATTTGTTTACATTCACACAGATAGTCAACAAATGTGGTGACCTTTACCGTTGTTTCTGAGTAGCAACTGTGTTTAGTAAACTTTTGAATAAGTGTGACTTCCACATGTACATTTACTGTTAAAAAAAGGCGAAAATTGTTTCAAAATTGAAAAACAGTGTGTGTTTGTATCTCTTTTAACTTTGCCTGTAACGACTTCCGGATATAACGACGAAATTACAGTGGTTCTTTCGTTGTCATTACACCCGAAATCCACTGTATATACTGTTCGTTTCAGGTTCAAGTTAGAGATATCCCCTTCCCTTTATTAGGATGCGCCATAGTATAATACCAAATTCAATCATATTTGTCTGCGGAGCTCATTTCTCCACCGATCATCGAGCGCGAACTAGACAAAAGTGTACAGTACCATTTGCAAAATTATTTAAACTGCCTCGNCGAAATTTAGCGAACCAGTTCTGGCACTGGCGTACTGTCAACACACCTTCTCCATACACATCAGTCAATTTCTTTCTGGCTTGAACAGCATTTTTACCCTTTCTGTAGTAAAACAGTAAGATAAGTCGAAAATGCTGCGTAAGATAAGTCGAAAATGCTGCTTATCGCTCTCCATATTTAAAAGGACATCAACCAAAAACTACTGCGTAGAATTAATTAGAATTTTTCACACACAAGCCTTGCTATATGAGCTCTCAAAGCATATAAAAATTATACGGCTTAAATGTGAAGTTGGGTGCAAAAGAATACAATTAAATCCTCTGTCGGGAAAAAACGAAATGACTTTCCGAACAACCCGATAATTCTGTCATTATTGTTTAATATTGCTCAATTAAGTCCTAATATGACATTAATTATTGTAAATTGGATCTATAAATAGATTGCACGGATAGTTACGTGGTTTAATATAGTTTCGATCTCTATAAAGTGCATGATGAGTTCATACAAACAAATGGTTTCTATTTTAGTGACCGAACAGTTTATTTGTGGGAAACATGCAACAGAAATGAACCAAATATCGATTTGGCTGGCGCCGTTTTAAAGTTTCGCTCTGCTTTGGTTACAGGTAGAGTCGGCTAGTCCGAATAACGAAGAAGTTTTAACTAATGGCGGTGGATTGGATTCAACAACCCTCTCAGGAGTTCCCGTATTCCAACAGGAATTCTTGCAATCGTCCACTTCCATCAATTATTATTCCAATGGGGCATCTCAAAACGGTAAAGATATTCTTTAAGGGTAAAACACTTAAAATTGCTAGAAAGGGAAGTAAAAATTTTTGAAAAATAACGCAAAAGCAAAGTAGAAAACTTGCACCATGTTTAAAAATATCTTTTTTTTATTATTTATACTGGGTAGTAGAAGTTAATTGCATCTTCCTTATACGCCGGAGGTGATTATTATTAAAAATTAGTGAGTTTTATTTATTTTGTTATTCACTTATTTATTTATTTATTTATTATGTTCAACATAGCCTCTATAGTTTTTTTGAAACATACCATTGTATGAAATGCCATTGCAGGTAAGTTAAGTGCTTTCTTCTGTAAAAAATAACCGAATGTTATGTCTTGGAGTATTGGTACCACCAAATACTGCAGTTGTCGTTTTAATTTTTGCGGAAACGGAAGTACTAGACCATCACAATATTAAAAATGAGATTTTCTAAAATTTCCAAATCGCTGCATTCTATTTTATTTTATAAACCTCATAGGCACGTTTCAACTGTTGAGTATTTTAACGACTTTTTGAACGGAACTTAACGTGGTTTGGGACGTTTGTGAGGGTGGTATTTAAGGGAAAGTCCACCAGAATGGAGACATGAACCATTAACCGCAGTGGTTTTGTGGGGTACCCGGCAATGTCACTATCCAATGCATCTCAAGTTTAGGTTCAATTCGATTCCGGGTTCTTCTGCCTGATCCAAGTTTTTCTCTGGTTTCTGTGGATTACTTAGGTAAATGCTGATTCCACAGATAAAATCTTCACTCTCTAATTTTTTCATTTCGTACTCGGAAATGTCACTTTCCAATGCATCTCAAGTTTAAGATCAATTCAACGATTCCGTGTCCTTCTGCCTGATTCTAGTTTTTCTGTGGTTTCCGTGGATTATTTAGGCAAATGCTGATTCCACAGATAAAATCTTCACCCTGTAATCTCTTCATTTCGTACTCGGCAATGTCACTTTCCGATGCATCTCAAGTTTAAGATCAATTCGATCCTGTGTCCTTTTGCCTGATCCAAGTTTTTCTGTGGTTTCCTTGGATTACTTAGGCAAATGCTGATTCCACAGATAAAATCTTCACTCTCTTCTCTCTTCATTTCGTACTCGACAATGTCACAATCCAATGCATCTCAAGTTTACTGATCCAAGTTTTTCTGTGGTTTCCGTGGATTACTTAGGCAAATGCTGATTCCACAGATAAAATCTTCACTCTCTAATCTCTTCATTTCGTACTCGGCAATGTCACTTTCCGATGCATCTCAAGTTTAAGATCAATTCATCGATTGCGTGTCCTTCTGCCTGATCGTAGTTTTTCTGTGGTTTCCGTGGATTATTTAGGCAAATGCTGATTGCACAGATAAAATCTTCACTCTCTAATCTCTTCATTTTGTACTCGGCAATGTCACTTTCCGATGCATCTCAAGTTTAAGATCAATTCGATCCTGTGTCCTTTTGCCTGATCCAAGTTTTTCTGTGGTTTCCTTGGATTACTTAGGCAAATGCTGATTCCACAGATAAAATCTTCACTCTCTTCTCTCTTCATTTCGTACCCTGCAATGTCACAATCCAATGCATTTCAAGTTTACTGATCCAAGTTTTTCTGTGGTTTCCGTGGATTATTTAGGCAAATGCTGATTCCACAGATAAAATCTTCACTCTTTTCTTTCTTCATTTCGTACCCTGCAATGTCACAATCCAATGCATCTCTAGTTTACTGATCCAAGTTTTTCTGTAGTTCCCTGCATTACTTAGGCAAATCTCATGATTCCTGAAAGGTGGCTGAAGAGGGCTTTCTAGCCAACCCCCCGGCATAATCCGGAGGGACTGTCCGCCCACCAGAATTAGTAGCTGGTGAGAATGTAAAACCTAAAAATTTATTTATGATTTTTTTCCGCAATGAGATTAATTTTCTCTTTTGATCAACAATTTCTGAATCAATATTCTCCGTTCATCACGTATCGATTTTAATGCCTCTGTTATTATCATCGTCTATCTATCACCGATTCGAAGCAAGTGTACCTGTTGGAAGCGCTAGTCGTTAGTGCTGAAAATAACATTGGCACAATTCTTGTCGCACAATTAGAACCGAATGACTGACTTGACAAGAAAAAAACTGACGATATCTAAAATAATAAATGTCACACGCGGTAAAGAATGAGTTACAATTGCAGTTAAAATGCCAGTGGATGCTCCGAAATAATCTTGTAAATGGTTTTGTTTAATGCAGTACTGGTTATAACTATAAATTGCAAACCATGAGATAGTAAATTACAACTGTTAGTGCATAAATTAAACTGGGTATTAAAGAACGTGGCATTTTTTTCTCGCAACTTTGGATAATGGAAGAATATAGTTTTAAAATTTATGAAAATAAGTTAATTATTTATAGCTAGATATTATAACGTATGAGGGTGTGGAATAAGAAGTTTCGGACTTGATACATCGATAAGGCCAACAACATACAATAGATCTGTTACTATCTGTATAAATACAGGGTGTCTCACGGTGACCACCCATTAGAATATTTCGGAAACTACTTCGATTCGAATTTGGACAATAACGTTATTGGGTATGCTCTCTTCAATTAAATGGAACACTCTGTATATTATGACGCTTTTGCATTCTATTTATGATTTTAGGTAGACTTTTATAATGCTTTTCTACTTCTAAAATTTACTGATTTCGAGATATTAATTTTTTTTAAATAAAATATCACAGAGCAGTAGATTGCGAAAAAGCATGCCAATTTTACAGTAGGAGCAACAACATTCTCAAGAAAGGTAGCTATACACTCAAGCTTACCTTCCATACTTTCCAAATGTGTTAATTACATGGAAGGTGTTAGATATTTAGTGGCGGATTTGGTTAACTTCAAAAATTCGTAAGTCAATTTTTTCAAATGGAAGACCATGTATATATTTTCGTTATCGTATACAGAATTTTATTGTCTTTCGAATGATACTATGGTTCCCTGTCCCCATCTCCTCTAGTTTTCAAATTACTTAGTGTTCTTTGTAAAATCAACAAGGCTGCTTATTTGTTTACGAAGTTGGTTGTGAAATTATTAGCAGAACCTTAAAAACATTAGTTAATTATTGCCACTGAAACACCATACTGACAGTTTAGTCATTAAATATTTTGATTCTCTACATCTGTTATTCAGTATTACTTTTATGAATAATGGAAAATGGAAGTACATATTCAAATTGAGAAGAATTTTAAGAAATCAATTGCAATACTGTAGACTATAGATAGAAATAGTAAGAAAAGAAAATAAAATAAATAGTTAACAATATCAGCTGATATTAATTAAACGTACCTATTCATTTAACTGTTCGAGTTGTAACTCATAGCATATCTAACGATTACACTAACACATTTAATTATTATCAGCTGATATCGTTAATTATTTATTTAATTTATTGTTTATTTGCTTTTTTTACCATTGTTGTCTGTAGTCTACCGTTTTGCAATTGATTTTATAAAATTCTTCTCAATTTGAATAGGTATTTTCATTTTCGAAGTAGTTTCCGAAATATTCTAATGGGTGGCTACCGTGAGACACCCTGTGCAATGTTCTGCACTCTACAGGATATAAAATCGGTAATTTTGAAGAATTCGAAATGGAACTAAACAATTACAACAAAGCAGCACCCTCCACCCTTTAAAATTTAGACAAATTCAACTAGAAGGTACCTTTATATTTATTTTATCGACAAGCCAGCTTTTAAAATGTTAAGGTATGCATTTATTTCTGCGTTTGTTGTTTTATGAAATAATAACGTCGTGTTGGGGTCTCTGCCAAAAGGCCTTTCCAAAGGAGAAAACCGTTGGTACCATCAACACCTCGTTATAAATTGGAAACTTAGTCGCGTAACATCTAAGTGATATTTTTGCCCCAGAAAACTTAATATTGCAATTCTATATTATTAGGAACTGTCTAATTATATAA